TACCCGAATATGAATTAATCATGTGTAGTGCATTGTTTCTAAACCATACTGATGAATATTCTCATAATTATATTTATTAAAAATAGGTACGCAACGCGTACATGTATCTGCGAAAAAACTTGATTCACATTTTGTATTTCCTTGAAAGGAACTGAATAATGAAGATGACATGGGACAATTGAAATATTTCATCACTTATTATTGTAATAAATATAATAGCAAATAAGATTTCAGTGGAGGGCAGCAAGATCAACTGCCCTCCCCCCCCCCTCGCCCCCCACCGAGAAAATGTAACTAGTTTTATAATGTGATTCTGATTGTAATATAATTATGCAGTCAAGAAATAAAAATTTCATGCAAACAATATTTGAAGTGTCCGTACAGCCAACAGCCGGCTATTTAGTAAACTGTCACTTGTCAAACCATGAAGTTTCAAAACTTTATTGTAATAATATGAAGCAAAAGTTCTGTCACTTGTTCTTTACATTTGCCAATGTTAAGGGTGCACTGAACTCAGTTCCGGCTGGTTAGTTCCAGTTGGAACCCTGATGTTTCAGAGTTCCGGTTCCAGCCGAAACTATTAATAAAACAACCATGGCCGGAACCAGAACTTTGTCCTTTTCAGAGAGATAGAATATCAAGTTTATGTATTGAGTGTCATAGGAAGAAATTTGGACTACACAAGATAAATGTACACTATCAACACTTTATTATAACATTTAAGTCAATCTTTTTATTCTAACATTTGCGTGCTCTCTCCTTGATGACTGAAAGTGTATGACTGTCTGGCGGTAGACAAAGTAACAATTATGACCATATATCACTTAAATGAAACAGTTCCGGTTCCGGCCGGAACTTTTCCAGTTCCGGCCAGATCCGGTTCCGGCCGAACTTTGAAAATTGGTTCCGGTGCACCCCTAGCCAATGTTAACTATTGAGTAACATAAACTATTCGAGGAACATGCATTAATTACTGTAGAAAAGAGTCAATCATATATTGAAGACCACTGAATAGTAGAGAATGTTTTAAAGGTCATGAGTGAAGTATATTTTAAGTAAAATTCCAGTCCTGTGCACAGTTAATGATATACCACAAGTAACTGTTACTGTTCAACACGCTGAGTTCAAATCCGAAAAGTTCCCACTCCGTGGCCCCGCAGTATTCTCACAACCTGCTATTTTATCTTCATTAATTTCACAGCAAATTTTTTCATTGTTCAACGACACGGGTCGATGACGATACACGATTATGGAGCATGAGCTCCACCTTTGAATTTACTATATGAGTAAATTCTTAAACATGTCTGAATTTATCATTATGATACATTGGAGGCAAATTTTGAATTTATCATAATAATAAATTTGCGGAACTTAACACTAACCCTAACCTCAACCCCTAACCACTAACCCCTAACCACTAACCCCTAACCACTAACCCCTAACCACCAAGCCATAACCCTAACTTTTTAAACTTTTTAAATTTTTTAAACTTTTTAAACTTTTTTTTCTGTGTTGGTGTAGTGTACTCAGGTGAATATAATATTTGTGGTGTTACTCTGAGTGTATATCCACACCAGGCGAGCTTTGTTTAAAAATCTAACATTTTAAACTTTTTTTGCTTTTTAAAACTCTTTAAAACATTTTTAAAACTTTTTTAAAAACTATTTTTTTAAAAACTTGAAAATGGGCTATAATGTCTCTGGCATGAGGAATAATTGGTTACATGCGATCGAAATGTTTTATACAACGATTTAAAATGGTAATCTATATGTAATGGATCAGCATTTATATTTCCAACTCAGTTTCTGAGCTGTAATTGAAGAGATAACTTATCATTACATTTGAACTATTTTATTAGTTCGTTTTACAGTATACTGTGCGATAAGCGAATGTTATTGGAAAGAAGCTTCCATATACGTTGAAATCACCAAATAAACAACTCATGCACACATTTCTCCACTTCGTCGTAAGTTTACGGAGCATATTTTGTACTTTGCCACTGATCTTTGTCTTTGATGTGAACATTTATTCTTATAGCTATTGGATATTAAGTCAATTTGACGCTGATTGGTTCACGTTTAGCAGATGCGAAAAAGGGATAAATGAATAAAATGCATGGTTCCGTGCAGGCTCACCTTTATCGCAGTGAGCCTGCTAAATTTTAGGCAATTTTATGCGGGAAGTTTGGCGGGAATTTCCGGTTTCGGTCTTTTTCTGTTTCGGTCTTTTTCTGTTTCGGTCTTTTTCTGTTTCGGTATTTTCCGGATCGGTCGTTTTGGTTTCCGTTCTTTACAGAGACCCGTTTTAAATAAGGTAGAACACAATTCCACAGCTTCGAGATATTAAATTTGATGGTGAATTGATCATAATTAGTTATTACTTATGGCCGATAGAATTATCAATGGCAGACAGTCTAGTATTATAGCTGTGAATATCAGATATTGGTTTCTGAAGGTAATCATGAAATACATATGGAAATTTCGATGTAGCTATCATTTGACAGTTTCTTTGCAAAATTAATGTAGCAATTTTAAATTTAACAATGTTATCAAAATTGAGTATTCCAAGACGTTTATAGTAAGTAATTGCGGACTTACTACGTAGCTATACACTTATTTTGGTCAGTACAAATCTTGGTTAAATTTGTTGTATACGCGCTACCCCAGCTCATAACACCATATAGGTTAAATAAGGGTAAATAAAGTCAAATAAGGGTAGAGACAAGTGGTCGCCAGTCAATTAACGGATAAAAACTGAGGTTAAAAAGATATCATGTTGTGAGTTAAGGTTACATCATATGATAGATTTCTGTTTCAGAAAAACGTCTCACTGCGTGCTTAATTTTTTATTACGTTTCTCAAATTTGGTACATGCAATAATAACTAACTGCATAAGCTACTGCTTCAACCAAAATTCACCATCTTTTAACCTGTAGTCGCAATGATACATCTTTTGAAAAATAGCACCACTTGCGCCACGAGGTTTAACGATAGATCGTTTAACTCAGGAGATCCCAAAATATCATATTTCTCGTCTCAAATGTCCAAAGAAGAAAACTTTGTTCCCATTTTTTGACAGCTATTGTATTAATTTTGCTTTGATATAAAGCAGTCAACTTGAAATGACTTATCCTGCGCGGGTATAAACGGTTGAAGAGATGCTTCTAAATTGAAAAATAATTCACTAAATTGAAAACGCGAACATGCTTTTGTTCCTTTATTATTCTTTAGGAATATAAGATTTTATTCCGTTTTCCTGCGCTAGGTAGGGAATCGTTACAGTGTTTCTATTTAGTGTCACTATAATGTTAATTTTGAAATCGTTCCTTTTCAAAGTTATCTTCTTTCTTCAGCCTCTTTTGTTGTTCACTGTTCGTTTTTTTCTTTGTCGTTGTCTAGTTTCGTTTGAGCTTCAGTAGTTTTTCATTAGTTAAGTTTTATTAAGTCTACGTTCACTCACTTCACTTCACTTCACTCGAGAGTCTGCTGACGAATTTGGATTGTGCACGCCCTTTTATACTAACGGTTGAGGGACCTTTCTACACGTGATGTACAGTAGCAAGTGGTGTGATTTGTATCCAGCCAATCAACGTTGAGTTATCAAAGTGTGGGATGGCGTTGCTATAGCTCGTTCCAGCTCTCACATTCTGTTTATTTAAGGCGATGCCGCACTGGTTGACTTCCATATTCATAACTTGAGTAATCTCGACAGAATTAGTAAAAAGTGAGTTTAGTCTCGCGGAAAGCTCGCAAGTAAAAAACAATACAAGCCAAAGTCCTGCCATTGCGAGAGAGCAGGACTTCGCATTTGCAAATAGTCGGTTTGAGCATGCGCAGACCTAATTATCCAATCAGAAACCAAGATTTCTTGTATGAATTTACTATAAAATATACTAGCAAGTCCTGCCATTTGAAAATGACAGGACTGAAACACGAGTCTGCGTGTAAATCAATGTACAGTTGCAGTTGCTAGGTAACAGACATACGACAAGCTGTAAAATTGCGTAAATAAAATAGAAAGAGAAAAACGTTTATTTAAATATCGAAAAAGACGAGAAAATGAGACAAAATGACAATACGATAATGATGAATTTTTAAAGCTTCAAGATAAGTAAAGCAAAGTTTTAGTAAGGAAATTTTGGGAAATTTTTAGTCCTGCTGGGGAGGACAAGCAAGACCACTAGCTATGCCACTGTGGGTATATAAATGAAACGAAATATATAAGTCGGAATATTTAAGATGAACTGACCCCAACCGCAAAGCATTCTCTAACCAATAATAATAAACCATTTGATAGTTTAATTTTAAAATATCAGGAACAATTCGTTTTTTTAATATTTTAAACCAAATTTCTAAGTCAACAGAGCATCGACTTTATCGGCAAGCTCGCTGAAAGTTGTTGCAAAAAACTATTCTTTATTACTAATTTACGAAATGTAAAAATCGGGTGCTATACTCTAGTGCGAATAGGCAGTTTAAATTTCAGCATATTTTAGTGTTATGTATTTTAGTGTATATGTACATATAATTTCAATGTATTTTTATTAATTACCCTTTTTTATTAAATTAAAATATTGAAATAGAGAGGAAAGCAAAGTTATTTTTATGCGAGAAATTGAAATCAGTTGATTTCAAACTCAACGTTCATCGATAAAAGGCAGTTTAGTTTTAACACCAATTTAAAACGTTTCGCGAAACGTTTGTGGTTTAATTTTACATTAAATAGAAGTTTATATTATGCATAATAACGTATAATAACTTACCTAGCATAACTATGTTTGGGAAATTGATAATTTTGTAATTAGAAGTGATATGTTGGGGGATTTTTCAATTTTAAAACTATTCTTAATAAAATTGTCGTGTTACCATGACAACCACTTTCAATACTTCATTTTCGAATTACATAATGATTTTGTCAGTAAGGCGAAAGTTTCTGCACGCATGCATTTTCTAGTTAAAAGTTTGGACAGTAGTGGACACCGCCGCCCAATTTTCCATGTGCTATGGAAGCACTTTATCCTTGCTTGTGCTCGTCTGTCGTAAACATTCTTCATCCCTTGTTGAACACACATCGATCCATTGCGTGTCATTACTAAGTGTCGGTTGCAATGTTTTGGTTTTGTGGTCGAACTTGATTGTCACTGGAAGATATTTTGCACCTATCACGCCGTTTCTAGATGAAATAAGAAAATGAGACATCGATCTATGCAAGAAAATGCTACATTTGCTTTCCGTTTATACTTATAGACTTTGTTGACTGGCTAGATTTTATGGAAAATTGCCACGATGGTCGAATTTTCACTAAGAAAAAGAAACACTTGCATATTAATCTACAGTTAGTCAGTATTCTTGTAAAAACTGATGTAAATAGCGTCGTAAGATGATCCTACGTTTTTCTATTTGAATGAAGTCCGTTAAGAAAACTAGAAATCGAAGGTGAACGAAGATTGTCGAATATGAAAATCGTTAAGGAGGCTCGTAATTGTTATTCATTATAAACGAAATGGCAAAGTTTATGCGTTCTTGCATCTCATAGGATGAGGACTTACGAAATGAAAGTCATGAAATTCCTGGAACTTTTCTGACAACATTCTGAGCCGGGAACAATATTTTATCCACTGGTGAAAAGAAAATTCGTCAGTTATGGAGAAAATATTTGGACCTGTTTTGTTTCTTCTACGTTCATTAGTTTTCTTTGAACCTTGGTATAAATATTAAATCCTATAATTGACTGGCACTTCAGCTTCGGGAAATAATTTAATGTTTTATGGACTGCCAATATGTTTCACGACTGCCCGCAATTGTCGAAAAATAGTTCCTGTTTCTTTTGTTCCCACTAAGTGTCTGAGCGCTCTTTTCCCTCATCGTGAGAATGAATTCGAAAGCTCCCTGGCGTGTTTGCATCCAATTAAGATAAATTTTCCAGCATTGCGATGCGATGAAATAGCACTCGTAGCCAGCCTGTGTGTCGAGTCTTGCAATAAATGGAAAACAGACGTGGGTGTTCGTTTTTTCCTTCAGTGATATGGAACAACAAACTGTATTTATTACAACATGTGTCATAGGTAAATGGATGCGGTATAGGTAAATGGAAAATTAATATATAGCTACACAATGCAATCAAACAACATAGTATTTTATAAAACTTCTTGTTTGCGGAAACACCACGTAAATTTAGTAATGCAATAGTACATTTATGTGGTGTCTCGACAAACAAAAAATATTAATTGTTTAATTTATTGTCATGCGAACCTGCAAAATTAATTAAGACTTAACAGTAATCACTGCAACAAGCAATGCCTAACTGTTTACTCCTTTACCTAGTTATTTGGAGACGAAGAATCCTGGAGAGCTTTGTTGGATCATTCCAAGATATATTCTTGTAGTCCTGAAAAGTGCATCAATAATTCATAAGCTTATTGGCATATCATGTCAATCAGAATATGTCACTCGTAGTGGCTTTAAACCTGATAAAACACTCCTAATTAGTTATCTGTATAATATAAAGAGTACTAATAAGGCGCAGTCGTGTCCTCAATAGTATTCTTTATATAAGGAATACTAATAAGGCAGTATATCTATTAAATTTGTAGTCGTGTTTCAAGCCGTTTAATATGTTACGAAACATTATTACTTATACATAAAATTGTAGGCTAAAAATTGCTTGAGAGCAGCTTAAAAGCTCGTGCAAGTAAATATTACTAAAAGCCTAATGAGGGGAGATAATGGATATTTGGGCACATGTCAAAATAAAGTAAATATTGATTATTTCCTTCCATTAGACCGTGACAGTTTGTTGAACTAGCTGTCATTGTGCATGTGAAGATGTCATGTTTAATTGACCTGATTCCTACAGTTTATCTTGTGGGCAGATCTGTTTAAACAGGGCAGCTGCCTTAGGTCTCATGAACATTGACCTTTCACGTGGACAGACTCAGGCGTAATCATGAGTCATCCCAAGCTAGATAACACTCGGTCATGCAATTAAAATATTACGTCATCAGAATCTTAGTTCAATAAAATTACGAGTAAATTTAGTCTTGTAGGTAAAGTTATGTTCACATAGGTATAGTCCGAAGTTTTTACTATAAGACCTGCATAAGTATTTAAAGTTGTGAACCTGTTTTGGCATTGATCGATTTAACAGCGAACCGACTCGACAAGTGTGACAACGCCTTAAATAAACACAATGTGAGAGCTGGAACGAGCTAACAACGCCAACCTACACTTTTAAAACTCAACGTTGATTCGCTGGATACGGATCACACCACTTGTTAGACCACGTGTACAAAGATTCCCTCAACCGTTAGTATAAGAGGACGTGCACAATCGAAAGTCGACAGTGGACGTAAACGAAGTAAAATTTAAATGATGAAAGCTACGAAAACTCAAAACGAAACAGCACGGACAAAGAAGACAGACTAAAGACAACGAAGATTTAAAGGCTGAAGTGAACTTAGAAAACTACTTCACGAATACGAACATTAAGAACTGATAGTCATTAGAGATTGATTGTAACGATTCACTATACTACCTAAATAAGGCCTCGTAACAAATAAACCGGCAGGTTGTGTTTTATTAGGTCTTAAGGCACTCGCGCTGCGCGCTCAAGGCTTTAAACCTAATCAAACACTGCTGCTCGTTTATTAAACAGTTCTAAAAGTTCTCTGTATTGAAATAAAAGTATGTTTCAATCCGGGGAACTTTCATTCATTATATATACGGTATTTAAAACAATTTGGCGTTCAACGTTACTTCGGCGGAATCTTATTACGGTGCCTTAGTCAAACTCTCGTTTTGCAGAAGTCGGAAATCCAAGACGTATTTTGGAGGTTCATTTAGTTGGTAAAATGTTTTTCGAGCTCTGTAAATGTCGAAAGAATTACTGTTTTCATGAGCAAGGTTGTGATCATTAACCTACCGTACATGTATTTTAATAATTTTTATAGGATCGATTCGAGGATCAATTTAAACCATCACTGTTTTAGTAGCAACATTTGCTATAATTAATGACCGCTCCCTTATTCAGAAATATATTGCCTGAAGTATGACATCCAACGTTACTTCGGAGAAACCAAGTATTTCCAGCCTTTTTCTACGATGTGTCCTCTAAACTCCAGCTGTTTCCAGAACTATTATCCGACTTTGGGCTCCTATATATTTGGGAGGCATTTCAAATCGAAGAATATTCGACGCCAACAAAATCGGCTTATCTTAACGGCGGCGAACGAACACGCTGTGTTTCACATTGTTTTAAGATTCATTTATGTCATTGCAAATTATCTAATCCTAAAGAAAAATTGCCTCGACGTGACTGAATGCGACATGTTGAAGTCTTTTTCGTGTCACAGTATATGCTCTTCTACGCTCCAAATAGAATGATTCATAAACATTATTATATAATTTGTTTATTTCTGTACGTGAATTTGGAATCAAGCCCAAATTTTTATCAAGCTTTACTTATGCGGATGATTGAAAATTTACATTGTTCATGATGAAAGTTGCTGTTCTGGACTTGTATATTGCTAAGCGAAAGTTAAATCACTTAAAAGGTGTATGAAAACGGGCGAAAGTGAATATTGTAGCAGCAGACATTGTTAGGTCGCTGTGCTCAGATAGCCGTGATGATGCTATTGACGATGATTTCGATAAATACGATAACAGCGATGATGATGAAGAAGTATTGTTGAAAAGCAAATTCGGAGTGATGATGACATTGAAGACGATAAAGATGAGGAACACAATGAAGATCCTAACAGCGAGGGACATATATTGAAGAAGAAAATATTTCTGATTCTCTGCATACCACAAAATCGGAAAGAGTTTGCAGAACTAGTGTTAAGAGCACGAATTTCTTATATTGTACGAGATTGATTAATGAAATATACGTGTTGTTCCAAAATTGAGGGAAATTATTACATAATTCACCAATAAAATTTTAATATAACATAGTCGAAAAGATCCCAGAGGAGGGCCACAGTTTTAGGGCCAAAGTATTGGGACGGCCAAGCTTTTTGGGTTGATATTTTAAATGGTTAATGTATTTTTGGGTCCTGTTTTAAATTATAAAAATTTAGCAATCCATAAATAATTAATAACCGCTCCCTAACAATTACCATAGCCCCTTGCGGATCCGGCTACTAACTTACGAAGCTGAAGTTTGCTTTAAGGTAGCCAAGCCAAGCAAGACTGGAGTAGACCACTTACCGTCAAACAGTCATTGATTCGAGGAAATAAAAAGTTCCCGACGCTGTAAGCCGTGAGATGATTGGTTGATCTGCTGTGAGGTTGTAAAACGTGAGGATGAGCGCCAATCACAGCTGAGACTCCGAGTGAATGAAGATATTTGGCTATGCTCAGTTGCCTTCTGTTAGGATGGAGTTTATATTCCGCGCCCCAGTGCATGTAAACTATAACCACATCAACGTCTTCACGCTTAGAATGAAAAATTGAAAAAGAAAGATAACAAATAACAAAAGCAATCATAACAACTGTGAATAAAGTAATAGCCTAATAACGATTAGAAGAAGGCAAAGAACTCCTTTTTAATATTTCTTCTATTTTAGTACTGCACTGAATGTCTAAATTCAATATTATCATCAAATAGTGCCCCCTATGAAACACAGTATGCATCGTTTGATAGTTTATTAACTGTTTGTTCATTCCGTATGTTTTGTGTCGTTGACAATATGTGACAACCACTCACCTCCACAATAAGTTTGCATGAATTATCAAAACAAAAGTTAAAAATAAAAGCAGAATTGCGAATTTCAGAATTTGTTCAATATCGTAGCGGCAACCCGCAATAGGATAAACAGTTTTGAATAATAATGGGATAGTACCGCAATAGGATAAACATACCGCAATTGGATAAACAGTTTTGAATAGGATAAACACTTTGAGCAGTTTTAAAATTTGATGTTGAATTTGGGAGTACAAGACACTTATGGTTAAAAAATTACCATTATTACAGTCAATCGCTTCTGATTGTTTACGACATGCGGAATCACCGGGAAATGAATCCTATAATATAGGGTACACGTGTAGCTCGATGATTTTGGCCATAGCAATGCTTCAACGGATTCTGACCCTCGAGCAGTTGTCGCAAATAAATATCAGTATAAAAACCGACATACATTACAGTAATAGCAGTGCTCTAAGACAAGAATCAACACTTAATTTATAGTATGACATATTCATATTGTCGCTACAAGAAATAAAACAAACGTTTGCATGATTGTATTTAGTTTTTAGTCCATTTCACACAGCCTCCTTCTATCTTCGTGAAAAAATCTACCACCCCTGTCACGGCCCTGTTATTTTGCCACGCGAGATTTGTACGGAATGTTTTGAAAGACTCGTCAGCAACATTTTCCAGGGCGATATAATGCTGCATTTGTTATATTTTGTTTACATATTTATTTTGAAACCCCCCTTAAGAAAGTGTTAAATTGTTATTAGTGCAATCAAAATGGCTTGGTTGGAAGAATAACAGGGCCGAATTGTAGACAACCGACATGTGATGACAAAATGTCGCCGAATTTGGACAAAGTTGGGGGTTTACCTTCTCGATGGTTAAACAGCTAGGATCTGCTTGAAACCTATTTAAAACTTCTTTAAAATGTGCTTGATACCATTATGTCCGAGCTCCCGTAAATACTTGGAAGGATTACAACGAGATTGGCGATAAACAGCGGAGTAAAGTGGAGAATTTGGCCACATACGTCAATTTGCAGGAGCTAGATACATTTCAAATTATTATTTCGGTCACAAAGTATCAACTATTGTACACCAAAGCAGCGATAATATACTTAAATAAGTACCAATTATATTTCTATAAAATCGATTTAGGAAAAAAGGTAATGTAGGTCCACTGCTGTTTATCTGAATTTGTATGTCACACATTGACGTTTGACTATGAGTATTGCATGGTCATTTTTTTGTGAAATATCAGTGCTAGGCATTTCACACTACCCAATGACTACCCCTAAAAGCACCATCTTTGAACCATATAAAAGCACCTCAAAATAGCCAAAGGTATTATGGTTTGGTAAATAGCACTATGGCGAGAGCGTCGTTTTTGGATGTGGTCAGTTTTGGACGCTTCGCCCCGGATTGGGGTTCTGGCAGCGTCACCATGTCGACCGTCATGCCCAATTTTCCCTAAAACAGTTGAGATTATCTGTCCTAAATAAAATGCATACAAACTCATATACATGACCTAGACTATAAAGGTAAATGCTTTCCCATTTAAAAATTAAAAATAAAGATAAAAGCCATATTTTCCACGCGAAGGCAACTTTTACCTTGTGTAGCGCGGCTCCATGTTTGTTTTGTTTTGAAGCAATCTGTGACCGTTACTTCTTTAATTAAACTAAATTGCTTTAAACTGATTGTTTAATTCAATCATCACAATGTTTTTTCACCAACAAGATCAGATTGTTACAGATTTTTGCACTGTAATGACAGAAAATTGCACTGTGATTACAAAAAATCGCACTGTGATTACAGAAAATTGCACTGTGATTACAGAAAATCACACTGCTGTTTGGGATTAACTGCACTGAAATCAATCAATCACAGTCGAGTAATATCTTTATGTATATTATTATGTATATAATCAAGCACACAACTCGTACATGTGGTCGTAACATATAGCATACAAGGAGAGGCTAACAATAAGAATCCAATGGTCTATACACATTTGACCTTCTGCGTAATAGACCTATTTTTTTCAAGAATTTGCATCACGGTTACAGAAAGGTAAATGATTCCATATTCAGCGAAATGCAGACATTTAATAAGGAAGTGTTCTTGTTAATTCCTTCCGTAATCTGGGATAGTTTTGCAACGAAAGCAGTGTTACAGAAAACTGCGAAATAAGACGGTATAACACTTTTATTAATACTTGGATGTGAACTTTATGCAACAAAACGAGTTAGGTCATTTCACGAGTCAAGATCGAACCCGAGTCAAGCACGAGTCATGAGTCACTAGTCAATTTCGAGTCACGAGTCAAACCCGAGTCAACCTATAGACTTCGTTTTTGCACTTTTTACGTTAATTTGACCATTTTTATAGTTTAATTTCCAATTTTGATGCGTGTAAGTATATTTTATGAAATAGCGCGCCTTACTTTATTTACATTCTCACCGTCGCTTGTTGTTTGTTGTTCCACCAACCTGACTCGGCCCAGTCGCTTATCTCGCGTTCAATCATGAGAATGCGATGGTTTATCCCCATATGCCTGGGCGTCATATTGAGGAAAAGGCCATGGAACCGCTATATATTTGTGGGACTGTGGACGAGCCCGTGTACAGACAAGTAAGACAACGACTATGGGAATTCTAGATCTGTTTGTGAGAAATCCGGTAATTCCTAATTTGCGAGCGGGTAAGCCGACAACCGTTTGTCCAGGCTTTGCAAAGTCTTTTTTTTAATATTATTGAAATGCCATAATTTAAGACGTAAAGAAACGCATTACTTACCCAAATTTTAACTAAGTTAAATTACTTTAAACTTAAAATATCCGCCATGTTGTGACGTCATTGTTGAGAAAATCTTTAATTTTTAAAATAAGTATAGCAAACCACCTTTAAGGCCCACACAGGCCGAACGCGATTCGGCAACGCGACGCGAATTTTCAGCTTTTAAAAACAAATAAAACTGTGAACGGTTAAAAATTTCACAAGATATGCAGACCAAATAGTTAAAATTGCTTAAGTGATTCCGAATATTTGAAGTTGAAGTTAAATGTCATTGATAATTCGCGTCGCGTCGCCGAATCGCGTCCGGTCTGTACATGTATGGACCTTAAAAGACAGGTAGATGAAAAACTGCAAGACTTCGTAACGGTTTATATAATATGATTGAAACAGATTGCAAACATATTTTTAAGAAAACCATGCTTTTACTATACCTTCACCAGAGGCCATTGTTACAATTTCATAAATATAACTCCCACACAGGCTGGTAACCTTTATTTTTAAGGTAAACAGGAAGTATAACAGTTGATTTCGGAGGTGTGTCGAGGGTGTGAGAAAGCTTTTTCTGGGAAGTGTGTAGACGATTGTATACAGTTAGAAATTTTTAGCTTGACTCGAAATGGACTCGTGACTCGAGCTTGACTCGGGCTCGAGCTTGACTCGTAAAATGAATACACTCTAACAAAACAAATTCGATAGAACAGAAAACTGTATCCAACAAGAAATCACTGATTCAACAAATACGTTTGCAATCGTGTCACCTATTAACAAACGAAAAGATTCTGCATTGTATTGGAATGACAAATTTGACCAGGCGCCTAAAGTAGTCAAAGATATGGCAGAAAGAAATAACGTTAAGCTAGAGGAAATCCAAGGATGCTCACAGTAAAGAAAGTTAAACCTAACATGGAAAAAGCTTCAACCAGAGTTACCCAAGTACATTGACGAAAAACATCAAAGAACAGAAAAAAAAGAAAGCCCAAGCGAAAGAAGAAACAAGAAAGAAGAAAGAGGAAGAAAAAGAGCACTTCTTAAGTGCAAGGAGAAATGCACTTGTTCACTCGGACTAAAACAGTGTCCTATATTTGCAAAAGAATTTTGCGGTCTGTATGTAGCACGGCAGGCTGTCAAGTAAATAAAAAAAACAGTATGGTTTTGCCCGGAAAAAAGATCGGTTCGGACCTCTAAAAAAGTTGTTCGCAAACTATGACAGTTAATCCGATGAAAATAGTGACGACAGAAACTAGAATGAGAAATGTGAAACCTGTACAGAGACTAAATTAATGAATCAATTATTTTGGAAAAAGAATATCTCACCCGTACAAGCACTGGAGTTATTTTCTATTTGCATGTTTCCTTTCCAGCGAATAGACGTATCCCCAAAACCACACGTGGTTCAAACAAACGTTTATGTAGCAATGGGGTGGTACATCTTCCTTAAGTGAAACCGCTCAAGGTTTTTCGACTAAAGAAACCCGAAAAGTTTATAACAATCATACAGTATATTTGCATTGCAAACTTAGTCTTAAAGTTTCAGATTATACAAGTTACCAGTGTTTTGTTTAATATTCAGGTAACACATTTTGGTAAATAGAGCGAAAAAATTCTTCTGAGCGTTTCTCTGACAAAATTTTTTTTCAAAATATTACACGTGTAGGTATCATAAAATGATACATCATTAGTCAACCGCCCTTTTAACTTTAATTTAATGACCATAATTCAAGTTTGTGGTTTTTTGGTGTACTTTGCTTTTGGGGGTACATATTTTCTTGTATATATGACTTTCAAATCTTCATATCATAATTAAAACCGATATAATGCAGGTTGTTAGCTCCCTGTCGGAGGTGTGGAGATTGTTTCTCCTACCCTTACCTTTAGTTGCAGTACATCTCGTTTGGCGATGTGATCGCTGTAAATAGCTGGACCAGCCTTGTACTTTTTTCTGACGCTGAAGCAACTTTGTATATAACAATAACCAAGAAATCCAACTTTAATTCCCTCTTTCGTCTGTATTAATGATCGCTGAAAAACGCATGAAAAAGGAATTAGGCCTATATGTTTTCTTCTTAATTGACTGAGTGATTGGCCGGAGTAATGTTTATTTATAATATTTTGGTCATTATAAGAGGATAAAATTAAAAATGATATGGTCGCAGTAAAAAATCCAACTAGATCAACATTTCAAATTTCCCGTCATTAACTGAGTTCTCTCACCCTTAATTTTCGTTGCTAAAATTCATCTAATGGCACATCGATCGAAGGGATGAGCACATTTTGAGCAAAGCATTTTCTTCCCAACAGAGCCACCGAGATGATGGGGGCGGGTAATTTTAGGGGGCCCTATCCAAAATACATTTTTCGGAAAAACTTTTCCGGACAGCAATCTCCCCCTCCCGGAAGTACGTTGTAAATGCTTTGTGGGAATTTCCTGTATTTCGACCCAAAACCGGAAATATTTCGCGCAGAAAAATCAGAGTTGTAGACTCGAGTCGTGTGAGTTGGACTCGAGTCGGACTCGAGTCGCAATTTTTGTGACTTGACTTGTTAAAGAGACTGATGACTTGTGACTTGACTTGGACTTGGACAAAATGACTTGTGACTTGAATTGGACTTGCAAGAAATGACTTGTTACCAACGCAAGTCAAACGTAAATATCTAGTGAAAACCAAGTTTTCCAAAATCTTTGTGTTGATCGATCGATCGTCGTGTTGTACAATTTGGGCAACGACCTTGGTACATATCAATGGCATCGACAGAATTTTTTTCTTGGTAAAATTTCTGACATAAAATAACGACGCCATATTTACATATTTTGCCGTTTTGCGTGGGAAAACATGGCCCACATGTGGCGATAAAATAACTTGTGACTTGACTTGAATTGACTTGCCACTCGGAATGACTTGTGATTTGACTTGACTTGGATTTAGACCAAATGACTTGTGACTTGACTTGGACTTGCAGGAAATGACTTGTGACTTGACTTGGACTTGCAACATAGGACTCGTTAACAACTCTGAGAAAAATTACAGAGGCCCAACAAAAAATTTCTAGGGTCCGACAGATCCTCGGTGCCGGGGGAAATTTGCTCTCTCCCCCTGCCCCCTCCCCTCTCAGCGGGTCTGCTTCCCAAAGTCCGTCCTGTTATGAGGTGAGTGTGCTTATTCATGCTCGTTTAGCAAATTCCTTTAGTTTTTTCCTATTGCGGCGATGTTTTTCTACTTCGACTTAGTAGTAGTTTTACTCTTAAACCTCCGATCTCTATACTTTTGAGGTGTTGAATGTGATGCTATTCGATCGGTTGTTTTCGAAATTATTTATTATTACCTGACTTTATTTTACGACGTAGCCCGTCAAATACAAAAGTTGATTTTCACGGGAGGCGTCCAAAAAAAATATTACAAAAAATATAAAACAGTTTAGTATTTTGTATGCGTATTACTCATCAGATCCAAAATTGCCCTTGATGAGAAAGATCATTTGCTGTTATGGAGTAAATAATATTATAGGTTGCTTTGACCATGCACAGAGCCATTATAATTAAAAGGGAATGGGATTGATTGGTAAACATAATGGTTTACCAATGTTCCTTGCCCCTTATTTCTTGTGAAGTAATTTTAAAAGCACACTATAACAGTCATGTGGGGCACGCTTAAAGTTAGCATTGTGCCTTATTATGGGTTACCTCTACAGTTGCAAGGTACTATATAAAGAATCAAAATTATCTGAATTTTTGAAATATATCTGCTGAAAATAAGACTTGTAATTTGTGTAGTATGTTTCCTTTCAATCTAAATTCTAAAATTTCTTCTGAAATGCCTTTAAAATTTCCTTACAATAGACAATCTCATGTAATTATCACGCAATTTTAAAGGAAGTCCTTATTAGAACTTAAAGTTTATGAAATCGATCAATATGTGTCAGTCAGAATATCTGAAGTTAGAAAATGATGTTACTGTAAGTTAATGAGAAAAAGTTGCTGTTATACAGTGTGAAGATATATCATCCGAATCCCTTTTTCCGGTGGCAAAGTGCCCTTTGCCTTCGTGAAAAATGTTGTTCAGATACATTTTTTACTTACGGATGTTGCAAAGCAACATCAGTTCTGCGAGTCTTCGTGGCTACTTCAATGCGGGGCAGTTAAACAATTAGAAATGACTAGCTTGCTTTGCACGCACACTGTGCCTGCAAATTGTGCCTTTCAGAACCAGAAATCCGGTTGTAGCACGACAAATGGCAAGTTCTTTCTGTCACTTTCGTTTGATCTCATTTGTGATTCGGCCTCAAAGGTCTTTGATTTATGATTGCATTTACCTCTCTTCCCTTCCCCCTAGCTCGCCTTTGTCGCCCTTGGAAACAGGTGCCCCCCAACTTTTAGATGCTTCCTACGCCCCTGGCGTTTGGCCCATATCTGTTCTGTGCCATTGGAATGATTCTCCAGATTCACGAGGGGCATGAGGCATATTTCAGAATTTACTACCTGAATTGTCGACATGGTTTACAGGCATATGGATATTAGTTATACGGGATTACGTGTATAGACGACCAAAAATTAACAATTTAATAGACTGTATATCTACGCAGGCCCGAAATTACGGGGGGGGAGGGTAACACCCCAGAAATTCTGTTCAGTCGGCAGGACTGCTATTTTAATCGGCAGACAAAAATATTTTTGACGAATAAAACTACTGCCGATATGATTTTCGCCTGTTATATAAGACACGGAAATTTTGGTTACTCGAAATTTACTCAGCAGGATAATCATTGTAATCCGTTAGAAAAACAAGCCCAGATCGATAGTTAAACTATGATCTTTGTCTTATGATTGAACGCTATGCCTTTGACATAATCACGATGAGTGAGACATGGTTAAAAGAAAATAATCTTTTACTTCAACATGTAACAATTCCAGGTTATGTTCACGCGTTCAATAACAGAGATAAGATAAGAGGTGTGGTGCCGGTATTTACATCAAAGAATCAATTAAGTTTAAACGAAGACAAGATCTCGAGAAACGTTATCCCACAATGGAGCATCTCTGGATAGAAATTCCCGGTCGTAATCGGTATAGTAAGCTTCTGCTTGGTACAATATATCGATCTGATGCCATCTTACCATATACAACCTGGTTAGAGTACTTTAACGATTTACTGAGTGATCTATCTGTTCAGTGGGATGGGATGTTAGCTGTTACGGGTGACTTTAACGTCGATCTGCTTCGTCCTGATAAAGCTGACACAAAAAAGTATAATGATGTCTTAGAATCAATGAACTTAGATCAACTCGTGACCAAACCAACACGCACGACTCCACACTCAGCTACATTAATTGATCATGTAATTACGAACATGAAACAACAAGTATTACACTGTGATGTTCTTCCTTCGCCTTTTATTAGTGATCATGACGCTCCATACTTTTGCTTAAATGTCCGTGTCCCTCGGTTTGTACCACGATTTAAGATGATCAGGAATGAACGTAATTTTAATATAGATTCATTTACCAAAAGCTTTAATGAACTCCCACTTAGTCTTGTACACGCCGTTGATGATCCGGACTCACAAGTTAACTTGCTTAACTCTTTATTCCGTGATTGTCTTGACGAACATGCGCCATTAAGACGGACTAAGATATCACGTCCCCCTGCACCTTGGATGAAACACTGTGACATAGCCCAACTTCAAAAGGACTGCCATGTTCTCCGTGAAATGTCTTGTAAAAACAACGCCGATGAAATCTTCAAATCGCGCTATCGTGATGTTAGAAATAAACTCAAAACTAAAATAAAATCCGCCAAGCGTGATTTTTATCAACGAGCTTTTTCGTCCAAAAATCCAAAAAAGGTGTGGAAGATTATACACAGAATACTTCATCCAAATCCTAAACCTCTTCGAATTGATCCTGATGAATTGAACACCCACTTTGCTTCTACTACTGAACGTGTCACTGGTGCAATACCTGAGCCAACTCAAAACTTGTGGTCTTTCATTAATACCTTACCAGATGATTCAACTAATGCATTTCACCTTCGAGAAGTTAGTTATCAAAAAGTTTTGAATGAAATTAAGAATTTGCGCTCGGATTGCTCGTGTGGTCCTGATGGTATTCCTGTCAAATACATCAAAATGATAGCCGAGCAGCTTGCTTCACCTCTGACACATATTATCAATAACTGCATATCGAAGCAGCTATTCCCCTCACCTTGGAAGATCGCTCGTATCTGCGCCATTCCAAAAGTTCAGAATATATCATCGAATAACGATCTCCGTCCTATTTCCATTCTGCCAAGCCTATCCAAAATCTTTGAACGACTCGTTCTCCGCCAAATGTCTGATTTCGTAACCAATACAACCACTGGAGTACTTAATCAATCCATTAGTGCTTACCGCAAAGGTCACAACACTACGACAGTTATGTTGGCAATGCGAGATGATATTCAGCGAGCTATGAAAAGAGGTGAAGTCACAATAGCTGTTCTCGCAGATTTCTCGAAAGCGTTCGATACTGTGTCGTATTCTACCATCTTAAGAAAACTCCATTCACAAGGTTTCTCCAAAGAGTATCTCAAATGGGTCACAAGCTATCTGACTGGTCGACGACAGTTTGTTCAAATAGACGACGCAGTGTCAAACACAACTAACGTTTGTTTTGGAGTTCCACAAGGGTCTATACTTGGTCCTGTACTCTTCAACCTATATGTCAATGATCTCTCTGAAAACCTTGACGACTCTATATCTTCACATCAGTATGCCGATGACACTACCATCTATGCACATTGTAAGCCAGCTGACATAAAGTCATGTGAAGAGAAAATTCAATCCAATCTAGATAAACTTTCCACCTGGTCTAGTTCTAATAACCTTGTTCTTAACCCCAATAAGACAAAAGTCATGCTTTTCTCGACTAGTCAACTCTCTCGTGTGCACCAACTTGATGAAGATCGTTCTGTTCATCTTCATGCTAATGGAATTGAACTTAAAAGAACTAAATGTGCGGCTCTTCTTGGTACTACATTGCATCAAAATTTAAAATGGAATGATGATGTAAACAAAAAGATCTCAAGTTGTTACGCGACATTATCCGTCTTGAGAAAATTGAAACATTTGGCACCATTTAAAATTCGGAAGCAACTCGCGGAGTGTCTGGTGCTATCAAAAATTGATTACAACGATGTCGTGTCTAGTCCAGTACCAGAATACCTATTAAAACGCTTACAACGAGTGCAGTTCGCTGCTGCTGGCTTTGTATTTAATAGATACGCTAGATTCACTGATGTCATGTCTCTCGGTTGGCTTCCAATTTTGGAACGTAGGAATTATCATCTTGCCAAATTAGCATACAAAGCAATGAATTGTGATGACTGGCCTTCATACTTAAAATTAGAGGAATATATTCCTATAAGACCATTACGATCATCATCTGCCCGGCGTCTAGTAGTCCCTATTATCTCAGGAACCTTCCAAGATGAAGCAGCTCGAGTGTTTAACTCTTTACCTGAAGAAATTCGAAACTGCGATACGTTTAAAGATTATTGCAGAACCTCCTCCGAGTACTTCAAAACATTAGTCAAAAACAGAATTAGTGACACGTCGTAAACTCTGTTGACATTGTGTGTATAACTATACTGTATTTTACTGTGTGTAAGTAATGTCAATAGTTAAATACTGTAATGTACAACATACTACGTATTGTAATACTTGTTGTGTCGTATTATGTACTCCGTTGTATGTATTGTATACTTTGTTATCTTATAATCAAACTCACTTGTAGCATAGAAGAGCCACTATGTGGAAATGCTATTAAATCATTATTATTATTATTATTATTATTATTATTATTATTATTATTATTATTATTATTATTATTATTATTATTATTATTATTATTAAACATAGCGACACAAAAGATTTTAAATGAAGTATATGTAGCATGTTTGATCACTTTTACAATTAATGGTGAAATTGCATTTCAATTTTAGTAGTGGGGTTATTCTATGTATAAATGAGCGGGTTAGTCGGGAACCATATTTGCCAAGATAGGGTAAAGGTAGCCAGATTTTAGGTACAGGGTTAGTTAGAACAGTATCAGGGTTATCTTGATGTATAACATTAATGTTAGATGTTGTAGACGGTTTGAATTGATCAATTAGTTTTAATGACAATTTTCGAGGGAATCCATTCCATGACCAAAATTTTTTGATGTGTTGTAGTTCATCTTTCAGGAGGTCTTCAGTATTGCAGATTTTATATGCGCGGTGGACAAGAGCTCGTATCTAGGCTACTTTTCTTGACCAAAGCGAGAAGCTAGACATATGTAATTATTGACCAGTGTGAGTAGGTTTTCTGTAGACAGAAGTACCAGAGGAATGTATTTGGATGTCAAGAAAATGGATGTCATTGTTATTAAATTCGTCAATAGTAAATTGAATGTTAGGATGAAATGAGTTAAAGTTACATAGTATGTTAGTAAGTCTGAGGGTTTGGTAAGAATAAGTGTGTCATCAACATATCATTTATAGAATTTGATCGTACCCCAGAGTTTATTAGTGGTTTAATAATTAGTTCTTCTAATTCAGTCATGATCATATTAGCAAGAGTGGGACCAAGCGGCGAACCCATTGAGACGCCATAAAAAATAAATAAAAACCAAATAACAATGAAATGAAATGAAATGTTCAATGAAATGTTCAATGTTTAATGTTTAATAAAATTGGAAGACTCAGAATTTTTCACACTATACAGACAAAATTCTCATCGTTTTTAAACTGTTTTATAAAACAGTAGTGATTGATACACCGGGTGGAAAGCGTAATTTAAAAATGAAAATTAAAGCCCAGCAAATGCTTTTCAGACAAGACATAACAAAATATAAAATTTATTGGTTAACGTTTCGTTGTATTGTTCACAACATCTTCAGAGCAATTAAACTTATTTACAAGCGTGTATTATATATATACAAATAGTTTCAAACGGTTACAGTATTCAAATAAGCGAATAAGAGGAAGGATGAAATAAATTTTATATTTTGTTATGTCTTGTCTGAAAATCATTTGCTGGGCTTTAATTTTTGTTTTATAAAAGTTTCGTTAGAATGTACGAACTAAATCTCGGGGAAAACCCCCGGCTCTGGCCGAAAGAAATTTATACTCGCTGTGATGTCAAATGTCAATATTTCGTTAGTTTCGCTCAGGATAGTTTTCTAGCAACTGAATTGTCTCTAGGTTGAGAAACAATTGTCAATGAAACTAGAATTCAAATAAGTAACGGTCCTGTGTAAAAAAATCAACTTTTTCAGGCCGACCCAGGGTCATTTTGCTCAACGCTAAGCTTCAAGAATTTATATTATTCCTTGTTGTATAAAAAATACGAATATTTTGATATAATACAAAACAAGTCAGTGCAAACAGCTGTAACCCGTTTGAACGTCTCAGTTATTTAAACAACATTTATTCCTTAAAGTTTTTCAGTAACAATTAGAAAGGTTCTGAAAATTAGAATTAATTTATATTCTTCTAGTTTTTCGACAAGCTTTAAATGGTGACAAATTTGCAAGTTTTTGTCGAATGGTAAATCAGAAAGATTTGTGTTGACTAATGTTAGTACAGTAGATTAAAGGGAAGTTAAAGTCATGTTCCAATCAAGTGCCACGATTTTGAAATAAGCTTTCAAAGTTGGTATATTTTGAGACAATATCCGCTATCCGTTCAGGAGGGTCAATAACTGCGCTGTTTTCTATTTTATACCAAAGAATAATTATCTAAGTCATATCACCAACGAAAATAGGAGGATAAGTTTATATTTCTGAGCAAAAATTTTGAAATTTAGGTATGAATTTGATTTAGCGCTGAAAATATGTCGATATTTTGCCTTCATTGGGAGTTCAAGTTCATCAATCGCCCTCCAAAGTCATTTAAAGTAAATTTGAGTAAAATGAAATCGATTGTAGTTGTTCCCAAGGATAGATCTTCAAAATACTAGAGTATGAGAGAAATCTATTTTTGAGACCCATATTGACCTAGAGGTTTGTACGGAGACAGCCTCTTAAGGCGATTTACCGCCCCAGAGTAGGCCTATACAATCGTTCTAAAGCGTGCAACATAACTATTCTATTAACATACTTGCGGTGAGTCATATGAACCGAAATTAGAGCCAATCGTATCTATTCCAGCATTGCTTAGAATATTTCTGGTGAAATTGACTGGTTTTTCTCCATAATCGTTCAAGTGGTTGTTAGCAAGGCTCATGATGTCAAATCCTGCAAACCTGAAAATATATAAGTTATTGACCAAAGTCAGTCAGAAGACAGTTGAATTGGAGTGCTAAAGTGCGTAACGAGGGAAATTTAGCCCCCTACTTGGGGGCCAAGGTCGCCTTTATTATGTGCAACATTGTGCGACAATAGGCGACATTGGTAATTTTGAAAGAAAGTTGTATGCGTCGTTGGCCTAAACTGGGCGACACAGAGCGAAATTGGGTGAAATTAGGCGAAATTAAGCGAATAGACTGTTAGGCAAAGTTCAAAAATTGGGTCACATGCATGGGCGACATTAGAGACCTTACGATATTAGGACGGCAACGCGACGACGACGGCCAAAACAAACTCCTTCAAATAAATGATGGTAAACATAATTCTTGGTATATTATCAATCGTATGAATTTAATAAAGTCTTAGAAGTTGAAGACATGGGTTGTATTGTTGGGAAGAGTTCTGCTGAACCCAGTTTGAAGTTGCACTTGTTGCGGCTTGAAATGCAGCTGCTGTATCAAGACGTGAAATCTGCAATTACTATGCAAGGAGGCCCGCATAATTATATATGCCGTTAATTAAGAGGGCCGCACATTATATGCAGTTCTTTTAATATATGCGTTGACGTCACGCGGGCCTGTTCGGGCGAAATTGGATAAAACTTGCTGACTAAGCATATTCTTTACCGTCACTCCACGTGTGTGACACAATAGAGGGATTAAGATTGGTTGTTTGATTTAACGAGCGTCTGCATAAATTACGAGAGCGTTTAATATTCGAAGCTAGTCTTTAGTTGACAACGTTTGCAGCAGCTTCTCTTGCTCGGGAAATCTTTGGTTGTTTGAAAAAATCTACCGTTGGGAAATATGGTTGAAGAGCATCGAGAGAATATTTGGTAAGTTTAACCTAAAATTAAAAATTAATATAATAGCGAGAGTTTTGTTTATGTAATCCATTTCTATATTTTGTATAGAAAACTTCATACATACATATATACTGTTAAGATGACCGAGTCAGATCATAAGAATATAAGTTAGAATTAGAATAGTTGTAATATATTTTGCATAAAAAATAAATATGTTTTTTTATCAAATATACGGTCGTTATATACGTTGCTCTGTGTTGCTAGTCATTAGCGACGCTTGGGTGCATGCATATATTAGCGTACAAGATATTTGTACAATAATCAGGCGGTTGGGTCGCGCGGGCGGAAAGAGCGAGCTTTGCAGGCAAAAGCTTACACAAGATTTCAGTTTTAAAATACATTTATTTCTTCAAAACGTTTTACAAAATTTATTACGGTCTACTTGTTATTTTTATTAAAGAGTTCTCATATTCTTGTCTATCTTCAGAAGGTCTGTTTTGAAGGTTTGCCGGGTCTTGGAAGAAGGTTAGAGAAATGGGTTAGGGGAAAATAGCTACCACACAGGATCGTACTTTATTTTATTTTTATAAACTAAACACAAACATCTATTAAGAGCCAATGTCACTAGGAGGCCATATGTGTTTCTGAAAAGACTTTTCAAAAGAAATTTTCTCTTGTCGGTAGCGGCTTCTAACGCTTCCCTGTACGTGGTCGATATTATCATCCTTAACGAAGACATCTCTGGTTTCCATAACTTCTTGTGTACTGGACCACTTTTTAGTTGTCTTATCTTGTTATTATTAAGTTTATTTAATTAATTCATTTGCCGAGTGATCATCTTAATTAATTCATAAGTGATAATTTTCCGAAGTTACACCGAGGATGGTAAAACAACGAGAGGTTTCCGACCTAGCCCCATTTTGTTTCGTGATGGAAATTTATGCCTGTCGCAAAACAAGGCAAGCTATTTTCGGAGTATCATTCTCTCTCAAGATGCCAGAACAAGGTGATCAGATATAAATGTTAGACATTTTACGTGAAAATATGGCTGAAGGGTTAATAATGACGGATTTGAAGGAAAATAACATTGAACTGAGTGAGAACGTTTGAAGCAAGGGTGAAAAGGTATATTTATCCCGTTGGTTATTGTCATGAGTATGAAGACTGTGGTCATGACTATTAAGATTATAGTAATGACTATTAAGACTATAGTCATGACTATTAAGACTATGGTGAAGACTACAGTCATGACAGTTAAGACTATAGTCATGACTATTAAGACTATAGTCATGACTATTAAGACAATGGTGAAGAATAGAGTCATGACTATTATAACTATAGTCATGACTATTAAGACTTATGGTGAAGAGAATAGTCGTGACTATTAAGCCTATATTCATGACTGTTAAGAGTATGGTGAAGACTACAGTCATAATTAAGACTATAGTCATGACTATTAAGACTATAGTCATGGCTATTAAGACTATAGTCATGACAATTAAGATTATGCTGAGGACTATAGTCATGACTATTAAGAAAATAGCCATGACTATAGTTTTAATAGTCATGACTATAGTCTTATTAGTCATGACTATAGTCTTAATAGTCTTCACCATAACCTTAATAATCATGACTGTAGTCTTAATAGTCATGACTACAGTCTTAATAGTCATGACTATAGTCTTCACCATAGTCTTAATAGTCATGACTATAGTCTTAAAGTCATGACTATAGTCTTCACCATAGTCTTAATAGTCTATAGGCTTAATAGTCATGACTATAGCCTTCACCACAGTCTTCATAGTCATGACAATAACCAACGGGATAAATATACCTTTTCACCCTTGCTTCAAATCATTCTTACTCAATTCAATGTTATTTTCCTTCAAAACCGTCATTATTAACCTTTCAGCCGTATTTTCACTTAAAATGTCAAACAACAGAATGATACTCCGAAAATAGCTTGCCTTGTTTTGCGACAGGCATAAATATCCATCACGAAACAAAATGGCGCTAGGTCGGAAACCTCTCGTTGTTTTACCATCCTCGGTGTAACTTCGGAAAATTATCACTTATGAATTAACTAAGATATACACTCGGAAAATGAATTAATTAAATAAACTTAATAATAACAAGATAAGACAACTAAAGAGTGGTCCAGTACACAAAAAGTTATGGAAACCAGGGATGTCTTTGTTAACGATGATAATTTCGACCACGTACAGGGAAGCGTTAGAGGCCGCTACTGACAAGAGAAAATTTCTTTTGAAAAGCTTTTCCAGAAACACATATGGCCTCCTAGTGACATTGGCCCTTAATAGATGTTTGTGTTTAGTTTATAAAAATAAAATAAAGTACGATCCTGTGTGGTAGCTATTTTCCCCTAACCCATTTCTCTAACCCTCTTTGAAGACCCGGCAAACCTTCAAAACAGACCTTCTGAAGATAGACAAGGATATGAGAACTCCTTAAAAATAACAAGTAGACCATAATAAATTTTGTAAAACGTTTTGAAGAAATAAATGTATTTTAAAACTGAAATCTTGTGTAAGCCTTTGCCTGCAAAGCTCGCTGTTTTCCGCCCGCGCGACCCGCCCGCCTGATTATTGTACAAATATCTTGTACGCTAATATATGCATTCACCCAAGTGTCGCTAATGACTAGCAACACAGAGCAACGTATATAACGACCGCATATTTGATAAAAAAATATATTTATTTTTTATGACAAAATATATTACAACTGTTCTAATTCTAACTTATATTCTTATGATCTGACTCGGTCATCTTAACAGTATATATGCATGTAGGAAGTTTTCTATACAAAATATAGAAATGGATTACATAAACAAAACTCTCGCTATTATATTAATTTTTAATTTTAGATTAAACTTACCAAATATTCTCTCGATGCTCTTCAACCATATTTCCCAACGGTAGATTTTTTCAAACAACCAAAGATTTCTTGAGCAAGATCTAGAGAAGCTGCTGCAAACGTTGTCAACTAAAGACTAGCTTCGAATAGTAAACGCTCCCGTAATTTATGCAGACGCTCGTTAAATCAAACAAGAATAGACGAATAGGCTTAGTCAGCAAGTTTTGTCCAATTTCGCCCGAACAGGCCCGCGTGACGTCAATGCATATATAGAGATTACGTCATGGTTGACGAGTGCGTACGATTTTTATTCACGAGTTGTGAAAGATTACTAACGAACGAGTGAGCGCAGCGAACGAGTGAGTTAGTAATCTTTCACAACGAGTGAATAAAAATCGTACAAACGAGCCAACCATGACGTAATTTGTTTATTATATATATAATGAACTGTGATAAATCGACAAAAAGGACTTTGTAACGGTGGCCAATTGATAACAAAGTCAATCGACTTGAATGTTCCAAGGACAAATCAAATGTGTTTATTAGTTTAACATATGAAAAAGTGAAAACAATCATCCTAACAAATTAACAATCAACATCGAGATCAACATATACAGCTATGAAGATCTAATATAGCCAAAAGGAAGCCATTTGACAACTCAACACATAAAAATACATAATTAGACAAGTTGTCGCCACCTACCGGTGGCTATAAAAACTGTATAAACTGTTTCAAAAAATTGTAGTTCAATCTGACTCAGAATCGCTCAGAAGTTTTAAACGTTTGTATGTTTTTGGTGGGCTATCCACATTTGTTATAGATAGTGTTGGAGACTGCTTGAGAGTGTTTATTGATATATTTATACTGCCTCCACTTATCGTTGCGTTCGAAAACAGCGCCGGCATAGCATGTTGTTCTTGGACATTGTGTTCGCTTGTCGTTTTCTGTCTGTTCGTCGACGAGTGAACTTCAACCCCTGAGTTTCCAGTGGTCAAGTTAGACAAATGACTCAGCTTTCCAGTGGCAACTGAACTGAGAGTTCTCGACATTTCCATTTGCTGTGACTCGTTGACAGTGGAATAATGAGTAACACTCTGCAGGTTCTTGTGGCCCGACAGTTGAATAATGTCTGTTGGTGGAAAGTTTTGGTTTACCAAGGCCTGCATCATTGTTTTCCTTCCGCTGTGGTTGGTAAATTTGGTAGTAAGTCCAGATTTCGCAGCCATGTTCTTCATTATCGAATTTAGTTTATTAACCCCGGCTGGGGATTTTTTGAATCAAGCTTTACATGAAACGGATTCAGGTTTCTTTAAATTATTTACAGCAAGATAAGATGGGCTATGGTCGCTGTTCATTTCTGCCGGACGTTTTTCCGCAAAAAGTTTGTACGCAGCAATAGGATCTCTTTTATTTCCTGGTACGGAAAACATTTTTGGAGTTACTTTTCGCACATCTCTGGTGTTTTCCCCCGAGCGTGTTTTCGTTTGCCTTTCGTTGTATTCCAAATATTCTTCGCCACAGACCGTTTTATGTAACTTCACGTCGCCCCAAGTCATATCGCGATGCTCTTTACAGCCACGTAATCCAAAGTGTATTGTATTGTTGAACCAAAGAGTGTTCAGTAAAGCATCGGGACTGGATGTGCCCAGCAAGTCTTTTTGATACAAAACAGCTATGTCGTCTTCGCTGAGAGCAGATGAAGCATTCGGTTTATTTCCTTTCCCCTGTCGTTTTAAATCCTTTTGTTTTGAAACCAAAGCTTTTCGAGTCTGTTCAAACTGTAGATCTTTCTTGATACTTAAACCATAGTTTTTCTTTTTTAAATGTGTTTCGAAGCTGGCTACCATACCGCGCAGGGAATTTGGTTCGTAATCCTTATTTTGTTTTGTACGAACCTTAATAATAAACTCGCTCAGGTAAAGGTTTAATTCCGCAGAAAGAATGTCCTCCCTCAATGCTTCTAGTCTGTTTCATTCTTGCTACTAAGAAACTCATTTAATAATGATAGATTTTGTTCAGTTTTTCTCTTTGTGTTTTCATTTTCTTGTTGTTCGATGAATTCGTCGACAGAAATGTCAAGGTCTGCAAAAAGGGGAAGCCATTTATAATATTTCGAAGCGATTGACTGAGCGAAGCGTTGGCCGGTAATTGGCGGGAAAATTCGATACTTTTTTTTCACATGTGAGAAAAATCGTCCGCGATATCTGATTGGTCGGACGATTTTTTTCACATGTGAGGAACATCGTCTCAATTACGCAATGCCTCGTAGATGAGTTTTATCTTGGCACTTGCCGAGTGTGAATATTACGGTATGTATATAATAAATTAAGAGAACTGCATATAATTTGCGGCCCCCTTAATTAACTGCATATATAATGATGCGGCCCCCTTAATTACCGGCATATATCATGATGCGGCCCCCTTAATTACCTGCATATATAATGATGCGGCTCCCCTTGCATAGTAATTACTTGCATATATAATGAAGCGGCCCCCTACGGCCCCCTGCGGCCCCCTAAAAATAAGGCCCGAACGGCCTCTATATTACTACTGTGGCGACATGTGACGCCATGAAAACACGATATTTTAATTTTTTTATATTTTTTGTACAAAACAGCGAAATAGTTGAAAAAGATGAGTACTTTCTATCATTGGCGTATAGCCAGCCCGACAATTTGGTCATGCTATGCAAATTTCAAATCACTATCATTATTCATTTCTTTAGAAATTGATTGTTTTCACGGTTAAATATGAACGTGAAAATATTTGCATAGCATGACCAAATTGGCGGGCAGGCTACGCCACTGCTTTCTATTATACAACAATCATTACATTCCCGAAATATATACTGTGTAAGTATGTATGTTATTTTGCATTTTGTGAGAAAGTTTAATATTAATCTCAAACGCCGCTTCGTAAGAAGTTTTGTGTTCATTCAACTGAACTGGTTTTCCGTTAAACTGTTCAATTTACTTAATCAAATTTTTGAGTAATTTCAGTTTGGTCTTCAAATTCATATGACCTCGTAAACATTTCAAGTTTTTTTTTAAATCGGCGGTGCAAGCGAAATATTTTTCTTCAATATTCAATATTTAGTAATAATTTAGGCAAAAATATTCAGTAATTCTTACATTTAATATCCCTAAAATATTTTTTCCCTCCCATTTTAGTTTGCACCCTGGGATACAAGCTTCATCGAGTTCTACTTCAAAGGTGTGATAAATAACTTACCGCAGCGCAGCGGCACTGCGATGGTCAGCGTGTAGAAAGATTTTTTTTCGGCCGTTAAACCTATCTTTTAGCATCATTTTAGTCACAAACGGCGACTCGAGGTTTCCAACAGCAATATCTGCTTCTCTGATAATTCCAGCTACTTTTATCATAGTGTCATTGTAGTTATTGCATCCATGGTCAACATACTTCCTTACACAGCGAGCAAAACTTATGTCACCAACAAAAATAATGGAGATTGAAACATCTGTTAATAACAAAACAAAGGTTTCAACTGGTCCTGGAAAAACATTAGACCAGAATGAGCTGCCGTATTACTAACAATGGAAAAAAACAATAGCAAAGGTTCGCAATACCATGGTGTGATACTAATCTTTCAAGTATTATAGTTAGAATGTAACAAGAGAAACTATAGCGTCAGGCACATGAAATCGCTCTGACCCTTAGATTTACCCTCTGGATTATTCTGAGGAATTGACATGAATGAATGATATCAATGCTACGTGTAATGAGACGTTCTTTTCTCGGCGACCGTATATAGCGTCTTGTACACGAAATGTTTTTGAGATGATAGCGCCGAACCTTAATTGGATTTGGATCCATGTGGAACAGTTTACAGTTGACATGAAAAGTCATTTAACGGCACATGTTTTCTTTTCAGTGACAACTATATATCCAATAAAATTTCGAAATTTCACAGGGATACGCGTAATGAAGCCTTCGTTTTCCGGCGACTATTTGCTCCATGCTCACAAAACATTAATTATCCCCGTCCCTCGCCTGAGAAAAAATGTAATTGTGTACAATACAGCTTGGCCTTTCAGATTGTGTCACGCCGGTAAACGGCAGGAACAGAAATTAATAAGATTTGTAATACAACCGTTACACAGACTTGGACAAAACCGCTAATGTGTCCCAATTTTGACATTTCTAGATGATGTCGAGTGTAGAAACACAGAAGGTGTGGAAAGTATGTATCAATATTGTTTTATTATAAACGTACCTGACATGTTTCAATGATATTGTATATTTTACTTTAAACAAAGCCTACATCCCAATATATGTCTACCGAAAACATGTCTAAAACCTACCTTGCGTATTTACACTCTTCGTAAAAACACTTGTTTGAACAAACCTTAAAACAATGATAAAAGAAAGACGAAACCACATAAAATCCATTTCGTCTTTGGAAGTCTAAATCGTCAAAGTAATCTGTAAATATTTTATTTCTTGAACAAAATCACGTACGTTTTACCACCTGCTCTGCAACAAACATACTTGCTTGAAAGTGAAGATGCCAGCATTTCTATAGGTTTTTTTATTTATACATAAAATATTTTGATTACAGACATTCGTTTTCTGAACAGAAACAATCTATTAGCGAATTACGACTACGATTAGCACTTACCATTTGGATTAACATTTCTATGACTCTATAGTGCAAATTACATATGCATATGATTAAATGCGCTTTACATAATTAAGTGTGCTTACCTAATTAATTACATTGTCTAGACTATTTAAACTTTACAACACTTATATGATATTAGTATAATATTACATAGGCGATTATTGAAAATTCTCGACGCTGATTGGTTGCCGTTGAGGTGATTATTACGCGATAATCACCTAAGCGATTTTCAAAATGGCGGTCGAAGCCGTTTTGTGAATTAAATGACGAAGAAATGTGCATTTTAATTTTTTTTCTTCCAAATAATCACCTATGAAATTATACTAAAACAATTATTCACCTCAGGCGAGGTGATTATCGTGAATAAAAACCTCGACTTCATCTCGGTTTTTAATCACCGATAATCACCTCGCCTTCGCGGAATAATTGTTAATTATTATCTCAACTGTGTTTATCCTAACCCACTTTGTCAACTTTCCCTGTGGGAGAAAACCAGAGCAACGGGAGAAAAGCCACGAGTATCGCCAGAGCATTCACTGACCCTTTTCACACGAGTTAGTAGCGAAAATCGAAGCCACAAACCCAGATCATTTGCTCGTAAATATGCGCAAATGCGGCATTATCTCAAGTTTACTCTGTGTTTCCTATAGTGGTAAATCCAATTTTTCCTGCAGTGTGATTTGAACTAAGCCGCTTGCCCAGGGTCTTCTTCGTGATGGCGCGCGAGAAAAGAAAAGACTCTGGCATCAACACAGCAAAAATCTGCACGATTCTTGGAGATTAAGTTCATGTGCTGTAGCGACTTTCCTTGGCACTGACCTAACTGATTGCGTGCAAATTTTTCATAGCCTTCATGAGATGAGATGATGAATTACGTAAATGTGATTCTTCATAATAATGCTTTTATGTGGAATATAAGTACAGCAACGTCATGTATCCGTGGACCAGACGCAAAGTTTCCGGACAGTAATATACCTACAGTATATTGCAGTGTTTTCTTCCTGTGGGCATGCACATTTACAATTATTGTTTCGTTGAGTTCTGGAACTGTTCGTAGCGTGCATCACATGATCGGATGACTTGAAGGAATGACATGTGTGCGCTTGAATCGCTGAAAAGAAAGCTTGCCGTACTATTATGCAGATAGCTGTTGTTTTTGAAGGTTACTACGCTGTATATTCAAGAAACAAAGGAACTGTCAATTGTACAAGCTTGGACAAGTGTAAGTTTATGCTATACTGTTAAAGAGCGAACATTTAAACCTTATTTTGTTTTATATTTAAGTAAACATTTTGTAAATTATATAGTTTCAGATGTTCAAATACAAATCCTGAAAGCCAAATTTGTACTCCAGTTTTGTCGGTTCATCGCTTCAAGTAGCATCGGCCACTATGGTGGATCCAGTACTCTCACTGCACTGTATAAATAGTTTACTGTTTACATATATAGGTTTCCATCAAATTCATAAGCACTTTATCCTTGCTTGTTTAAATCCGTTTGTCGTAAACATGCTTCATCCTTTGTTGAACAAACATCAATCCAATGCGTGCCGTTACTAAGTGTCGGTTGTAAGGTTTTGGTTTTGCGATCAAACTTGACTGCCACAGGAAGATATTTTGCACCTATCACACCGTTTCTGCAGGAAATGAGAGAATGAGTCAACTGTAATCGATCAATCCAACAAGATGGTATATTTGCGTTCTGTTTATAGCTATAGACTTTTTAGACTAGCTTGGTTTTATAAAAAGAAACTGATAATCAACTCGTAAATTTGCAATGAGCGCTTGCATTCAATACAAATTGTCGAGCATTGTGATTAGAAAGAAAAATTTAAAACTCACTGACAGTAAGATTGCAAATTGACTCTTGCAATGAAATGACGCTTGATTGTACAGCTGAGACATCAAATAATATGTTTTGTTTACCAAGAAAATGTTTTAATATGGTAAATTTTATAATTAAGAATTAACAATTAACAAGTGACGAGTGACAAGTAACGAGTGAAAAGTGACAATTGACAATCGACAATTAACATGCAATTAACAATTAACAATTAACATTTAACATTTAACAATTAACATTTAACAATTAACAATTAACAATTAACAATTAACAATTAACAATTAACAATTAACAATTAACAATTAACAATTAACAATTAACAATTAACAGTTAACAGTTAACAGTTAACAATTAACAATTAACAATTAACAATTAATGAAGTTAATTAATTTTGATAATTAATATAGTTCATTCATTGGGTATGGGAAATTGAGAACACTGTAGCACAGAAATTTCTGATCACGCAAGGCCGGATTGTTTACCTCCTTACCTGGATACTTGCAGTCGAAGAATCCTTGAAAGCATTGTAGGATAATTCCAAGGCTTGTTTTTGTACGCCTAAAAGTGTATAAATTTATATACTATGGCATAAAATTGTGTATGTTAAGCTTACGTATTTGTTGCTTGTTTACATTATTTAGTTTCAGTTGGTTCCTATAGTTTTTCTAATTTTTGTTTTATTCATATTTGAAACAATTTGCAGCATAAAAATGATATGCACGATCGATATTTTTTTAATTGTGTTTGAATATATAAAGATCGTATCCTGTGAGAGTAGGGGTAACACAGTCTTTGACATTTTGTAGTTGTTTTGATATGAACAAATTAATCCCGTGGAGGTGGGGGTAACATAGTCGCTCCTCAAGGGTTATATAGCTGGACCAAAGTCTTTGGGTTTTGACAGGCATCGCCGCTATTAATATTTTGCCTGCAAGAAATTTTGCCCGATAATCGAAAGGCTATGCCTGCGGAGGAAGCTATATTTATAGTTGTTTATTCAAAGGTTTGGAGTCGAAGAATCCTTGAAAGCATATTAGGATAATTCCAAGACTTGTTTTTGTATGCCTAAAAGTGCATAAATTTATATATTGTGGCATAACATTTTGAATGTTAAGCTTACGTATTTGTTGCTTGTTTACATTATTTAGTTTCAGTTGTCTCTTATAGTTTTTCTAATTTATGGTCAAACTGTCAAACCTTTAATTTGTCCTTGTTTATATTCCACTGTATTGTATAAATTTGTTGGGTGCAAATTTTGAGGTTTTCAAGTCGTTACACAAATAAAAACACATTAATTCAACACGCAAGAAAGTCCAGCCTGCTACACAACGTAAAATCCATACGATAGATCACTCAGTGAAAAGGCGCCATTTTGAAACTGGACTGAATAAGTCACAGGAGGCTGTGGCACTCTAGCCTTGGAGTTTGGAATTATGCGCGTTGGTACAAGTGTATGGGCTAATAAACGAAAAATGTACCACAAGCATGGCGTGGAACCGGCTATTACATACGAAATATTTAACTCCAGAAGTCGATGGCATTTTGACTTAATCGTTGTACCCTGAGCCTGCGATGCGCTGACGCAAACTCGACTTATCGACGACAAAAAAACCCAGAAAATTAGGGATTTAAGACACTGGACCTTTCAGGTCAGTGTAAAAACAAACTTACAAACCAATTCCGGCACAATGGGCAAGCGCAGTGAATCACCGCTGCTCATAAATTGCGAAGGCATATTTACCATGACGTAACAATTCATCGTTCGTTCTATGTACATTCCACAAAACATCCAGCTGTATTCGACAGGCTGAATAGGCTAGCCACGTGTACGCGGTTCGTACCTATTTTTTATTTACAATGTAGGTGTGGTGTAATTTCCACGAGACCAGAAATGCAGAATTAGCTTACGAGGCTGAGGCTTGCTTCAATACAAACCGATAAAACTAGAATTTAACACTTACCGTCAAACATGCACTGAGTAGAGGAAATAAAAAGTTCCCAAGGCTGTAGGCCGCGAATTGGTCTTTTTTTAGGCTGTGAGACTGTAATATGTGGGAATGAGCGCCAATCACTGCTGTGACTCCCAGTGAAAAGAGATATTTGGTCATCAGTACTCGCTCTCTGTCAGGACGGAGGCCAAATTCTCTGCCCCAGTGCATATAAACTATAACCACATTAACGCCTTCACTCTTAAAATAAAAAAATTGAAAAATGGATCACACTACTTGAAAAAAAAACAATCACATCATTTTTATGAAATATAATTAATATTAGCTACAACTGCATTCCTATATCATGCATACCCATATGGCCTCAATAATAGTTGACTTGAGAATTTTTTTGTCCTCTCCACTTTATCAACGAATTTTCATTTAATATTGTTACCAGAAATAATAAATATCTCCCTACAGTCCGCCGAGTCACGTCCAACATGTGAGAAATGCGCAATTCATTTATTATCTTAAGCAATTAAAGAATAATAAACATGAA